GAAGAATGATAATTTCATTTTGGCTGCTGATGGAAACACAATAGAGCTTGTTCTGGATAAAGAGCTCGATCGAGAAAAACAGCAAGAGCTCAATTTGCTTCTTACAGCTCTAGATGGTGGCTCTCCTCAGAGATCAGGTACTGTAGTCATACACGTCACTGTGCTGGATGCTAATGATAACGCCCCAGTGTTCAGCCAGGCCGTTTATAAAGCCAGTCTGCCTGAAAATTCTCCTGTAGATACTATAGTGGTCACAGTGAGCGCTACTGATGCAGACGAGGGAGTCAATGGAGACGTGACTTATGAATTCGGACATGTTACAGAAGATGTGAAGAAGATATTTAGTATTGACCGTAAGGTGGGGGATATACGTGTTATTGGCTCTGTTGACTATGAAGCCACCACTTCATTTGAAATACGTCTTAAAGCAAAAGATGGATTAGGGCTGTCATCTTATGCTAAAGCAATAATTTCTGTCACTGATGTGAATGACAACGCTCCTGTAGTAGATTTGAAATCACTGACTAACCCCATACCTGAGGACATCCCACCTGGTACAGAGGTGGGCATCATTAACGTGCAGGATAGAGACTCTGAGAATAACAGACAGGTCCGCTGCTCCATTCAGCAAAACGTCCCTTTTAAGTTGGTTCCTTCTATTAAAAACTATTATTCTCTGGTGACCACAGGACAACTGGACCGTGAAGTAGTGTCTGATTACAACATTACAATCACTGCCAGTGACGAGGGCTCTCCACCTCTGTCCTCCTCTAAAAGTGTTGAGTTATCTGTAGCAGACATCAACGACAACCCACCTGTGTTTGAGGAACAGTCGTACAGCGCATATGTGAGTGAAAATAACAAACCTGGCTCCACTTTATGTTCCGTTAGTGCTCGAGACCCCGACTGGAGACAAAACGGTACAGTGATTTATTCTCTGTTACCCGGTGAGGTGAACGGTGCCCCGGTGTCGTCCTATGTGTCTGTTAACGGAGACACGGGGGTGATCCACGCTGTGAGGTCGTTTGATTATGAACAGTTCAGGAGTTTTAAAGTCCACGTGATGGGCAGAGACAACGGTTCTCCTCCGCTGAGCAGCAACGTGACCGTCAGTGTGTTCATATCGGATGTGAATGACAACTCTCCTCAGATACTGTACCCCGGGCCGGAGGGCAACTCCTTCATGACCGAGCTGGTCCCCAAAGCTGCACACGGAGGCTCTCTGGTGTCCAAAGTGATAGCGGTGGACGCGGACTCCGGACAGAACGCCTGGCTGTCCTATGATATAGTGAAATCCACAGATCCGGGCCTTTTCACTATTGGTGTCCACAGCGGAGAGATCAGGACACAGCGGGACATTTCCGAGTCTGACAGCATGAAACAGAACCTGATTGTGTCAGTGAAAGATAACGGACAGCCCTCTCTGTCTGCCACCTGTTCCATGTATTTACTGATTTCTGATAACTTGGCTGAGGTGCCAGAACTGAAGGACATTTCTTATGATGAGAAGAATTCCAAACTGACGTCTTATCTGATCATCGCGCTGGTGTCTGTGTCGACGTTTTTCCTGACCTTCATCATCATCATCCTGGGTGTGAGGTTTTGTCGCAGGAGAAAGCCCAGACTGTTGTTTGATGGAGCAGTTGCCATCCCCAGCGCTTATCTCCCTCCTAATTACGCAGATGTTGACGGCACAGGAACTTTACGCAGCACTTACAATTATGACGCCTACCTGACAACAGGTTCAAGAACCAGTGACTTTAAGTTCGTGTCATCTTACAATGACAACACACTGCCTGCTGACCAGACTCTGAGGAAAAGTCCATCAGACTTTGCTGATGCCTTTGGAGATAGTGATGGCTCTCCTGAGGTAGGGATGCGTTTTAGCTTTTTCAACTCGTATTTATAGTCTGACATCAAATTTCATAAATTCAAATACGTTATATCAACCATGCATTACTCTAAAAGGTTTAATTTCATAAATATATATCCACCAACTTTTCAAAATGAAGGCCGTCTTTGTCCTTGCGCAGTTATTCTAGTCTTTCTGTCTAAATGAATTGTGTTTGTGGTGTGTTTGTGTGTGTGTGCGTGTGTGTGTACGTGTGTGTGAGTGCGCGTGTGTTTTCTTTGTAATTTCTAAAACTGCTTTACTTTAAATGTTTCATTTTGATTTCTGTTAATTATTTTCATCGTTGATGTAGCCTAGTAAAAAAAAATATGCTTGATTTTTTGTTTGAAAATCCATGCTTTCAATCTATCTCCAAACTTCTGTTTCTTACCATCCTAGTGTCATTGTCAATGACAAACTGACTGAATGCATGTCACCATAACTGATTAGCCTCCTCACGTCATATGTACTTCATCTAAACCATTAACACAGTCCTGAGTTGTTATTTAGTACTGGAAAAAGTCATGACGTGTTACATTTCAGTACATATTTTGGTGTTCAGAAGTTGTTCAAGTAAAGAGTGTTGGACATGATGCTTGTTTTGAAGTTTCTTTATGAACCAAACACAATTTGCTGGAGCTGAATATTCATTATTGACCTGTTGTTGATAACTACCTGCATAAAATATGACACAGTGACATTCCTCTAGTGTGTAGTCTATATTTTTTTATATCTCAGAAATGTGAATACAAATGTCTGTGGTGACCAGAAATCGTGACAGAAACAACTGTTTTTGTAGCAACATAAAAATAATATATTATTTATCAGCTGTATAGCAGTGTACAGTGTGTAACTGAGTCTTAGTAATAAGATATTATATGGTCAGTGTGTAAGACAAAAATTAATTCTGTGGCCACATTTGCCAGGATATGTAATTTCCAATAGATGACTTTGTTGATCATGTCTCCTCTGGTGATTGAAGGAAATATGTTGTGCTGGTATCTGACAGTCTGTATATCATGAGCTGGATGACTGAAAACCTACTCACACATGCTGCTTTTGTGTAAAAGTGGCACATACACCTCAGATAGAAGACACTACCTGAATAATGTTGGTTTTACATTTAAAGTCAGTCCACTTTCATTCTTAAACTTGTATGCTAAACAGGCCTCTCTTGTTTGAGCTTTGCTGTGTTTGATTACTGTCTGATTTCATCACAAGCTTTACATTTCAAGAACTTTATTGTTAATATGCAAGCATAACGCAATTACAACGACAAGAGTTGCTGTGTCTGTGTGTGCTGCCATCTTCCATGACACTTAAGATAGAAGTAAATGTAGAGAAAGTTGAATGAGTTGTTTGTATGTGCAGTTTGTCAGTTTCAATGACTTGGCTGCCCTATGGGGATATATTTGTTGCTTGTACTTATTTAGTCTTTCATCACATTAGTTGTGATCTTGAGAAGATGCTGATAGTCAGACAGTATCCTGTATATCGTTCCTGTCCCTTTTTGAATGGTGATTTTTTTTTTTTGTTCATTTTTGAGAATGTGTTGTGCTGAGAGGTGAAAGCTGAGCCTATTTCATTTTTACCTTTTGTAGAGATGTATGATTATATAACTTTAGTAACCAAACCACCACAAGCTTCGCCAGCTCTGTATAACTACAGAGTGATACAACACTCCCAGTCTACAGAGAGGTGTTTCCCCACAGCAGGTCTCCTGACTTAGTGATTTTGCATTGAGTTTTCTCTTTATTATTTGCAGAGCTTTGTCTTAAGATACAGAGGTAATAGATGTGGCTTGTTATTCAGTATTTAAACAAACTTACTGTCTGTAAACACAATGCATGTTTCTGTCTCTTTCTGGAGTTTGAAAATTGAATGATTTGTCAACAGGAGTTGCAGATGATTGTAGGAAGTCAGGCCAAGTGGGGTCAAAGACAGCCCTACTTTCTACTGGATGTAGTTACTAACTTGGTGATGTCAGAATCTCAAGAGCCTACAGACATGGGTTTAGTTCACATACATTTAACATATGCTGTTGTCAAACAAAATGTTTACAACAATACATGCCATTATTCTTTTAGTTTATCTTAGGGCTGAAACCTAAAAATATAGAAACAACAAAAAAACAAATAACCCCACTGATGTGCACCTCTATGAGAAATACTATCGTAATCCCACTGGGGACAATAGTGTTCAGAACTTGTACAACTTTGCAATATGATGACAATGATAATTGAAGTATGGTGCAATCATAATTTGAATTGCAAACAGGCACATGTTTTTTTCTTCTTTTTTTCCCAGCAAATCTCTACAGTCATGCCCAGGCTTACATGAGGCTTACAAGCTAGCTTTAAAGAAAGTACAACCTGGTGAAAGTCTTGGATCGCACCTTAAGTACACATCAGGGTTATTGTGACTGCAGCCTTTACCTTTTACATCTTTCACCAGGCCGCATTCAGGGAAGTTGGATAGACAGCTGGTCTACTGCTTGCAGAAAAACAAACAAACAAAAAATCAACAACTCAGTAACCCCCTTTATATGATTATCAGATGATTGATATCAAGATTTATGGCTGAGATTTAGTCACAAATTAAGACAATTAGTCTTTTTCATATCCTTGTATCTGACAAAGATTAATTTCCCTACAAATGCCACTGATGTGTGTTGACTCTGACAATTTAAAGACCACCTGAGCCCATGCTCGTACATGCTGTCCTCAGACCTCAGTGAGAGTCTGTCTTTGATGCATTAAACTAAATGCACAGCAGTTCTTACTGCAGCTGGTATCTTATTGGATATGGTTGTGGGTTACTGTAGTTGTAAATGTTGTAAACACCAAGGTAAATGTATGTTATGTTTTATTTAGAGCACTGGTGGACAAAGTTTTTTAGGCTGCAATCAATTTATCAGTGTTTCATTTGAACTTTTAAATCAATGTTATTTATGAACTTTACTCACGGTGTCGCTATTCACCAGCCTTAGAATGGATTATATCCTCTGTCCTTTGTGGACAGACGTTCTTGTACGCCCATTGCGTGGTCTAGATAAGTGAAACACATTCGCGCTGAGCTGCAGTTACTATTCGTGTTATGTGGTTGAAGTGTGTTTGTTGCTTCGATCCTGAGACATATTAGGAATTCATCCGTGATTATGGATTGTAATATGATCGCTTGCGGTTTCTCTTTCCTCCTGCTTTTTCTGCATGGCGCATATGCAGATCTGAGCTATTCGTTTCCGGAGGAGATGAAACGAGGATCAGTTATTGGAAATATGGCCAAGGATCTCGGGCTGCAGACGAGCGCACTGTCTAACAGAAGAGCCCGTATCGACACCGATGAAACTGATAAACGTTACTGTGACATAAACCTGAATAACGGAGAGTTGATTGTTGCCGACAGGATTGATCGAGAGGGGCTCTGTGGAGAAAAGGCTTCGTGCATCCTAAAACACGAGCTGGTGCTGGAGAATCCTCTCGAGCTCCATCGGATCAGTCTGCACGTTCAAGATATTAATGATAACTCGCCTCAGTTTAAGGAAGAATTGATAAATATAGAAATCCGAGAGTCGGCAGTCAGGGGAGCTCGTTTTGTGATCGAGGAGGCACACGATGCGGATGTAGGACAGAATTCAGTTCAGCAGTACAGCCTTAAGAAGAATGATAATTTCATTTTGGCTGCTGATGGAAACACAATAGAGCTTGTTCTGGATAAAGAGCTCGATCGAGAAAAACAGCAAGAGCTCAATTTGCTTCTTACAGCTCTAGATGGTGGCTCTCCTCAGAGATCAGGTACTGTAGTCATACACGTCACTGTGCTGGATGCTAATGATAACGCCCCAGTGTTCAGCCAGGCCGTTTATAAAGCCAGTCTGCCTGAAAATTCTCCTGTAGATACTATAGTGGTCACAGTGAGCGCTACTGATGCAGACGAGGGAGTCAATGGAGACGTGACTTATGAATTCGGACATGTTACAGAAGATGTGAAGAAGATATTTAGTATTGACCGTAAGGTGGGGGATATACGTGTTATTGGCTCTGTTGACTATGAAGCCACCACTTCATTTGAAATACGTCTTAAAGCAAAAGATGGATTAGGGCTGTCATCTTATGCTAAAGCAATAATTTCTGTCACTGATGTGAATGACAACGCTCCTGTAGTAGATTTGAAATCACTGACTAACCCCATACCTGAGGACATCCCACCTGGTACAGAGGTGGGCATCATTAACGTGCAGGATAGAGACTCTGAGAATAACAGACAGGTCCGCTGCTCCATTCAGCAAAACGTCCCTTTTAAGTTGGTTCCTTCTATTAAAAACTATTATTCTCTGGTGACCACAGGACAACTGGACCGTGAAGTAGTGTCTGATTACAACATTACAATCACTGCCAGTGACGAGGGCTCTCCACCTCTGTCCTCCTCTAAAAGTGTTGAGTTATCTGTAGCAGACATCAACGACAACCCACCTGTGTTTGAGGAACAGTCGTACAGCGCATATGTGAGTGAAAATAACAAACCTGGCTCCACTTTATGTTCCGTTAGTGCTCGAGACCCCGACTGGAGACAAAACGGTACAGTGATTTATTCTCTGTTACCCGGTGAGGTGAACGGTGCCCCGGTGTCGTCCTATGTGTCTGTTAACGGAGACACGGGGGTGATCCACGCTGTGAGGTCGTTTGATTATGAACAGTTCAGGAGTTTTAAAGTCCACGTGATGGGCAGAGACAACGGTTCTCCTCCGCTGAGCAGCAACGTGACCGTCAGTGTGTTCATATCGGATGTGAATGACAACTCTCCTCAGATACTGTACCCCGGGCCGGAGGGCAACTCCTTCATGACCGAGCTGGTCCCCAAAGCTGCACACGGAGGCTCTCTGGTGTCCAAAGTGATAGCGGTGGACGCGGACTCCGGACAGAACGCCTGGCTGTCCTATGATATAGTGAAATCCACAGATCCGGGCCTTTTCACTATTGGTGTCCACAGCGGAGAGATCAGGACACAGCGGGACATTTCCGAGTCTGACAGCATGAAACAGAACCTGATTGTGTCAGTGAAAGATAACGGACAGCCCTCTCTGTCTGCCACCTGTTCCATGTATTTACTGATTTCTGATAACTTGGCTGAGGTGCCAGAACTGAAGGACATTTCTTATGATGAGAAGAATTCCAAACTGACGTCTTATCTGATCATCGCGCTGGTGTCTGTGTCGACGTTTTTCCTGACCTTCATCATCATCATCCTGGGTGTGAGGTTTTGTCGCAGGAGAAAGCCCAGACTGTTGTTTGATGGAGCAGTTGCCATCCCCAGCGCTTATCTCCCTCCTAATTACGCAGATGTTGACGGCACAGGAACTTTACGCAGCACTTACAATTATGACGCCTACCTGACAACAGGTTCAAGAACCAGTGACTTTAAGTTCGTGTCATCTTACAATGACAACACACTGCCTGCTGACCAGACTCTGAGGAAAAGTCCATCAGACTTTGCCGATGCCTTTGGAGATAGTGATGGCTCTCCTGAGGTAGGGCTGCATTTCATAACACTTAAGTCCTGAAGAGGCCACCCTTGTGTTTTGCTTTGAGTCATTTCGGTTGTATTCCTCTCGTCTTTGGTGGTGGTGTTTTAATACACTTTTCATGGGTCGGAAAGTTGTTAGAAGTTCATGATGGTTCTTTCAAATTTAAGACTTAAGCTTCTGACGTTATGGAAAAGTCCGTCAGACTTTTCTGAAACATTTGTATAATGTGAGTGTTTAGAGGTGTGAAAACACATAGCATCAATTTTGTCAGAAGTTTTGTAACAACCCTAAAGAACTATCAAACAAAAGTATAGATAAATACACACATTTTATTTTCAAATACTTAATTTTATGCAATTGCGTATTTGATTTTTGGATATATACAAACTCAAAACATTGTTTTCCCCCTACTTTGAGACTTGTAATGAGTTGGGGTGTATATTTGTTCTTTTGTGCATTTTTATCCTTTTGTTTGTATGTCCTTATTCGTCTGTCTTTTTAAATCATTTTTCACGAAGATTCTTTGATCAATTTCAATCATCACCTTTAAGAAGCTTTTGTTCAGTATGCAAAAATTGATTTCATTTAAATCATGGCCACTTTTATTTTGACAATGTGAAGCTGTTACATTTGGTTTATTAGTTACCATCTTGTTGTAATTTAGATATTACCTCAGTCTTGTTAGTACATTATTGACACTGACAGACTCACAATGAGTTAGTTCCTGATATTTTATGTGTGTTGTTCAAGTCAGGAGATATGTTGTCTTATCCATAACAAAAATACTTTTTTCCCCTCTGAAAGTTACTTCGATCATGTTTCATTTTGTCACCTCTCTGCTTGCTTTTTTATTTGTAGATGTGTTTTTATTGGTGTTTGCTCAGCATTAAAGCAGTTCATTGCTCATGTGAAGGTGTGACATTGTGACATTCCTTTTTACGAGGATTGTTTGTGTTGACATCAAAACCTTGGTCTCCACTTTTTCATTAACAGTATGTATTTAATCCAGTGTGAGTGCATGCAGTGCTTGAATCGAATCATCGCTGACTAAATAATTAAATAAGCCTCCTCTTTACTTATCAGCATAAACAGGACAATGTGACTGAGTTTCAGTGATGACCTCTGACTGCTTTTATTTACATGTTCCATTTATATTAAGTTTCTCTCACTGCTAAAACATATCATACACACAATTGGATAATTATTGTTGCAGAGGAAAAGACATCTGTGGCTGTATGTGTTATCATATGACATTTGTAATGTGTGTCTTATTCACTGGAAGTTTCTGGTAGACACATCTCTCTGTTTTCACTCTGATCTACAAACACACAGACAAAACAAACAATACCTGTCTTTGTTCTTGTGCATTCATGACCGACTTCATACACCTGCAATCTTGACCCACTTCCCTTAGAACAAGCTTCAAACTAAAGTTTGTGAAACTTGTTGTTGATGGTTACTTGTTAATGCTTGGGTTGTACCTCATCTAACTGTTACTTTGGAAAGAGATGTGTGTGCCACATCAATAAATGTATATGTACACATTGATCTTACACTTTTTTTTCTCCAGGGAATTTGTGTTATAATTATGCACTGATTTTTATATTTGAACGCTAAATGGCTAAAAACGTAACTGTACATGCTTCTGTTGACTAATGCTGGCTCTTCAGGTGGATGACATCACCTGTAGTATACACCTATTTGAACTAAATTCACTATGTTTCATGAACAGCAGTGTTTGTTTGGGTTTGCTTTTGTTTGAGTTTTGTTATAGCTGATTGCTAACATGTGCTGTGGTTGCTCTCTGATCTGAAAAGTGTGATTGTCTGATACAGATAATACCAATGTAGTGAGAGACAATAACACATTTTTAATTTTTATCTCAGTTTGTCATATCACACTGTCGTGTCTGTCCCATGGATATGTCTGCAGTGTCCGAGTGATTGTACTAGCTTCATTATATCCTCTGAATGAATGAAATTTATTTTATTCATAACATTGTGAGTCACATGTGTCTCACTTTGAAGACTGAGGCTTGCTCTTGTGTTGTAGACCAATAATAAACATGATTTGACAGAATGTCTGTCACCTCATTCATCAAAATACAGTCTGAATGTCACTGAGGCAGTCTATAAGGTGTCTGCAGAATGAGAGACTTTCCCCTCCAGGTTACACAAATAGTTTTTTGAGCACAGTGACTTTGGTAACAGCTGTTCCGCCTTAGTGTTTTCTGTGGATTGACTTGATTTAAAGTGATTGGTCTTCACTACTTCTGTCTTAACTATATTGTGATGTATGGTTGTTTCTAATTTATCTGTTATAGTAAGTGTTTGATCCAATACACTAGCTGTTGTCTTGTTGATAGTTATTGACAAACTATATCATTAATCTCTTATCTGTGATGGTACAAGACAGGGTTTTTTTGTGTGTTTTTTTCTATTTTGCTCTGTTCAGAAGAGGGCAAAGGCTTCTTCAATCCATCTTTAACTGCATGTGATGTGGAGACATATTTTAATCACTCTGAAACACTGTTGCTTGATTAGAAGTTTGTGGTAAAATACTTAGTGCAGGTGATCTTTAGGGTCATGGCCTTTCTTCTTTGCAAAAAGGGAGTACAGTGGTTGTTTTTTACATGTGCATGCACACACACACACACACACACACAGACAGCCAATTGACTCTGTTTGTTCACGTGAGTCTTCTTCATTATGTCCACTGTTTTCAGCCAGGCAGATGCATTTAACTGTCTGGGCTTTTTTCTCTGTCCTTGGTGCTGAACAGCTGATATCTTCTCAGATGCTTTTTGTTTAGTTTCCCTCACACTTTCATCAACGTCACACCACTACTGCTTTGGTTTCTCCCTGGCATGTCATTAAATAAACCAATCAGAATTTTGGCATTCCAAATGTAGGTTAATGTGATGATAAACCCACAGAGACACATTCAGTGCATTTATTATAAATGATTTAAACAATTGGTATGATATATAAACATCAGTATATTAATTATTAACTCTGCAAAGCTATAGTGCTTCGTTGTACTTACATACATTAACTGTCCTTTTAAACATTACAGACAATTACTTCCCTTTTTAATACAACTAAAGATGCAGGTGGTCTTTATTCAAAGCTTTTACAACTCTGCAGATCTGCAAATCTTGGTTAAAGTGATTGTGGTGACTTTAACTTACTTTACCACTTTTAGAAGCAGAAAAAGAAAGAAATTATCCAAGTTAAGAGAGACACTAACTAGTCAACACAAATATCTGTACATATTTTATTTTATTTTTGGGCATACAGGATATGAACAGACCATATAAGTAGTCCAACAGTAAGTGTGAGAGATCCAACAGTGTTGACGTTTCTTGTTTCCTGGTTTGACCCTGGTGGATAACTGCAGCTGTAAACACTGCTCATACAGAGCATCATAGCAGTTACAGTGTCTGTTTCATATAAACAGAACTTATAAGCAGTCTGCAGCCAATTTGAAGTTTCTCCTTTTATTTCATTTTTCAGTGGTGCTTTTGTTTAACTTAACTCACGGTGGCGCTATACACCAGCCTTAAGATGTTTGAATCTCTCTATCCTTTGGTTTGGACGCACATTGTTCCGCTCTTGTGTCTAGATAGGGACAACCACCTTGGATTTGCAGTTGCCATCCGTGTTATTTGGTTGAACTGTCTTTGTCCTTTTTATTCCTCTGCCTGTCAGAAACTTTTCGTCGACGATGGATTCGAAAATGTTCTTGTTTCAGACGTGCGGGTTTCATTTCCTCCTGCTTTTTCTGCATGGCGCATATGGAGACATGAGCTATTCTTTTCCGGAGGAGATGAAACGAGGATCAGTTATTGGAAATATGGCCAAGGATCTCGGGCTGCAGGCGGGTGCGTTCTCCAACAGAAGAGCCCGCATCGACACCGATGAGACTGATAAACGTTATTGTGACATAAATCTGAATAACGGAGAGTTGATTGTTGCCGACAGGATTGATCGAGAGGGGCTCTGTGGAGAAAAGGCTTCGTGCATCCTGAAACACGAACTGGTGCTGGAGAATCCTCTCGAGCTCCATCGGATCAGTCTCCACATTCAAGATATTAATGATAACTCGCCTCAGTTTAACGAAGATTTGATTAATATCGAAATTCAAGAGTCGGCAGTCAGGGGAGCTCGTTTTGTGATTGAGGAGGCACACGATGCGGATGTAGGACAGAATTCAGTTCAGCAGTACAGCCTTAAGAAGAATGATAATTTCATTTTGTCCGTTGATGGAAACACAATAGAGCTTGTTTTGGATAAAGAGCTCGATCGAGAAAAACAGCAAGAGCTCAGTTTGCTCCTGACAGCTTTAGATGGTGGCTCTCCTCAGAGATCAGGTACTGTAGTCATACACGTCACTGTGCTGGATGCTAATGATAACGCCCCAGTGTTCAGCCAGGCCGTTTATAAAGCCAGTCTGCCTGAAAACTCTCCTGTAGGTACTGTAGTGGTCACAGTGAGTGCTACTGATGCCGACGAGGGAGTCAATGGAGACGTGACTTATGACTTTGGACATGTTACAGACGATGTAAGGAAGATATTTAGTATTGATCGTAAAATGGGGGATATTCGAGTGATTGGCGCTATTGATTATGAAACTACGAAATCATTTGAAATACGTCTTAAAGCAAAAGATGGGTTAGGGCTGTCATCTTATGCTAAAGCAATAATTTCTGTCACTGATGTGAATGACAACGCTCCTGTAGTTAATTTGAAATCATTGACTAATCCCATACCTGAGGACATCCCACCTGGTACAGAGGTGGGCATCATTAACGTGCAGGATAGAGACTCTGAGAATAACAGACAGGTCCGCTGCTCCATTCAACAAAACGCCCCTTTTAAGTTGGTTCCTTCTATTAAAAACTATTATTCTCTGGTGACCACAGGACAACTGGACCGTGAAGTAGTGTCTGATTACAACATTACAATCACTGCCACTGACGAGGGCTCTCCACCTCTGTCCTCCTCTAAAACTGTTGAGTTATCTGTAGCAGACATCAACGACAACCCACCTGTGTTTGAGGAACAGTCGTACAGCGCATATGTGAGTGAAAATAACAAACCTGGCTCCACTTTATGTTCCGTTAGTGCTCGAGACCCCGACTGGAGACAAAACGGTACAGTGATTTATTCTCTGTTACCCGGTGAGGTGAACGGTGCCCCGGTGTCGTCCTATGTGTCTGTTAACGGAGACACGGGGGTGATCCACGCTGTGAGGTCGTTTGATTATGAACAGTT